TTCTAACTAAAACCACAAGGAACATTTCGGGAGTGAAAGTTATTAGCTGCGGCGATTGGACTGTTGAAATTATAGGCAAGTTCAATGAACGTCATATCGTTCACCTTCAGCAGCGAAAATGCACTTGTCGGGCCTACAATAAGCTAGGGATCCCATGTTTGCATGCCTTACTCGCTAATAACAGCAAAGGTGTTTCTCATGCCACGTTGGTACTTCCTTGGTTCAAAAATAGTACATGGGTGGGCATCTATAACGATGAAATACTGCCAGAGAGAGATGCCCAGGATGAGGAACCATCTGATGAAGTCGGTAAGCTTCTTCTTTCCTTGCTGTTTACAAGGTGACTCATTGGTCGTCTCAAAGAAGGGCGATTCCCTTCCACTTGCAAAATTGTTGGAAGTCACAAATTTAGACCATATTTGTTTTCACTGACCAACATTACATGTTTTTATTATTTTTACTAACCCACATTACTCCCTACCATAACTAAGAGAGTAAGGCACCCAAGGCATCTTCTAACGGATGTTCAAGATGCAACAAAGACGGACACAACCAGACTACCTGCAAGAAACCCATTTGCTAGCTACATTACAATTTCTGTTTGGATGCATCTTTTGGAACTGTTATTTTCTACTTCTGCGTTGCTAATGCCCCTCTTTTTGCGGAAATTAAACTACAAATTTCTTTTGTAACACTTTTAGATGTTATACAACACTCTTTTTAACGGATATGTGAAAACCATTACTTCATCTATTCTTGCTTTGTAGTATTTCTCAAATCTCAAAAGAATTTCAGCACACAACTGTTATAATTCGTTACCGAAATAGATAAACTTCACCTTATCACGCAATAAACTTGCCTATCCATAGTATTCCATCCATTCACATGCCTACCTTTTTATTAAGCTGTCCATGTAAACATATATGTCCTAACCCAACAACAACTTGAAGACATACTATACATTCCAAGAGAAATTCAAGGAGGATTTTCCAATTAGTAAGCGGGATACCCAATGAGCAGAACCAAATTTTCCCTAAGATAAGCTCACCAATAAACACTACAAAACCCTATCTTTATAGTTGTTTTACTGTTCCACAATTGGAGATTTCTCTTTCTCAACCAAAATTAGGTCAAATGAATGAAATATCATAAGAGTCTTCGATCAACTAGCAGAGTTGTCGGTGTGGCTAAACGGTGTTTTTGTGGTGTCTATAGTCACGAGAACCTCGAGAACGGATTGTAATCCAATTCGGCGATACCACCGTTGCGAATTTGCAGGGCGAAAGAAGGTTAATGTTTCCAAATTCTTCACTTATACAACTCTTCTATTATTTTTGCAGAATTGACAATGGATTTAGTCTTTCTCAATTCCTTTATAGATGGTAAATTAA